TCATAATTAATAAGTCGTCTTTCTTCAAAGTTATTCTTACTTGACTGATGTTGATTTTCGTGTGTGCTTATCTTGTTTCTCTATACATATCTATTTCTTTTCTACTTGTATAGACTTCATAAATAGATGAAAAAATCATATAATGTTGCACTTTGATGGACGAAAACAAAAAATTAATTTTGTAAAATTTTGACCCATAGTGGCCGGATGTATCCAAATGGATACATCAAGCCATTCGATACGGAAACACTTTTTGGTTCTGAAAAATAAACTTTTCTTATCTCCATGCTCTAGAAGCAACAAAAATGCGCGAAAAGATTTTTTTGCTATCTGTCTTATGGTAGCCGGCTGGAAAGGGTTAAGGCACTAGAAAACTGGTGCCCTCTCATCTTTTATAAAGCTAAAATTAAAGGAGTAACGTATAAAATAGTGTTTTTTTTGGTTGAAAAGTAATAGAGATTAGAGCGTCGCATTTTCCATATTGTTTTATTTTAAAAATGTGTAAAATTATATTCCATAAGTGTTTTCTAGAGAATCAAATAACGCATCTTTTAAAAGGAAACATAAGTTTCTAAAATAAACAGCAAAAACATTATAGTCAAAATACTGCGTGGCTCATTATTTCTGGATCACCCGTTATATTATTGTACAAGACCACTGAAAATATCTTTATTGAAATAAATAATAAGATAGTGGTAATATGACAATTCGTTTGCGAGCTAGAAAGTTAAAAAAGAAATTTACCATTACTTTATCTATGAGGCTTCTTCTGTTTGAAACGGTGTCCCACGGTGAAATAATAGAAATGCGTTCAATCGATAGTTGAAACGCGTTTTTTATCCGTTTAAACGATATACGAAACGCGTTTTACTCATTGACTAAAAGCATTTCTATTATTTCGTCGTTGAACACCGTTTTAAACGAAAAGTCAACAACCTCATGGGATCTCAAATAGTCTAGATGTTTCGGATATGTTCACTTCAATTGATAGAAATGAAATGTTGAAAACGTTACACAAGATGTTAGACTTCTTGATAAATAATTATTATTTTCATTCTTTTACGTTCTCGATACTAATTTTTTTTTAATGCATCAAATATAATACACATATCTCCTTATAGATCCCTAATGATTTGTGCTACTTGTTGAGTGTTACTCACAACTTCGATACTTTGATATTATCGGACTGTAAATGGACGTTTGATCGATGAAGCAAATTCTCTATGAAAAACAAAAAAAGAATTAATAATTCTAGTGGTGTTCAATACGATATTTTACCTAATTTTTTCTTTTGCTTCGACAAAACTTGCAGAAACAAAACATTGTTCTTGACAGGTTGTAATCAAACACTCATGACGACATACAACATCTGGATCAAATGGAAGTCTTGTTGCTTTATCACTAATGGCATGCTGGAAATATAAAATGATCATTATTTATTATAATTATTATATCCCTCTGGAAAAAAATAGTTACAGTCAAGTTTTTTTGATATATCATCACTATAAATTTACATTTTTATTAATAATTATATATCCTCGTAGCGCTTGAAATTCTCTATTAGTCTCTGCTTTCCCAGTCTGGATTCGAAATTATTTACCAGCAAAAATTTTGAATATTGTTAATGTTTTTCACTTGAAACTTTTCTCCTCTGTAAAAACGAGTTGTAAAAGTGAGAGCTCAGTTCTTTTTGTACTTTTGAACGTGCTCTTTCTCGAGGATTGTACAAAAAGACGAATTAGTTGAAGAAGCATGGAATACAATACATGGGAATGTGATACATGGGCACACTAACAATATTCGAAATATTGGTTAGCAAATAATTGCAAATTAAGAGCGGCAAAGTAAAAATGATAAAGAATTTCAAGCGCTATCAGAATATATACTTACTTTTGTAATAACTTATTTGTATAGGCAAAATAAATTTGAAAAAATTAAAGGAAAACGGGACAAAAGATGCAGTTCGGGGGAATCTGACGATGAGGGTGCTGTCACTATGCTAGAAATATTGCTTAGCAAACAAGTGCAATTCAAGACATAAATATACAAGGTAACAGAGAACTGCGAGCGCTGTCAGAGTATATAATTATTTCTTTTAAAATGTATTTTTATAGTGATGATATATCATAAAAATCGACTGCAACTATTTTTTTCCAGCCGGATAGATAATTTGTGAATACCTGCAATTCAGAGCATGAGAATAATAAATCTGCATCATAAGCACGTAGTTTCCCAATTTGACGACATAATCCAAATTCAATTGTAAAGAAATAACGTTACAATAATATCATTACATTTAACAACGGTACAAAATGAAAAAATGTGGAAATTTTACTGTTGCGAGTCTGTTAATATCTTCTTCTGATGTTCCACAAGCTGCTAATCCAATTTCATGCGAGAATTGAGCGAAATTTGGATCTGTCAATAGTGGCTATTTGTCTTCGCAAAGTGTTGGATTGTTCATCCACCAGTAGGGAACTTTAGCTAGGCTTAGACCGTCGTGAGACAGGTTAGTTTACTCTACTATTCCTCGTCGTCTCCTCTACATTTCTAGCTATGGCTATGTCTACTAATTTTTTAGGCCACTTAAATAAGAGCAAAATAGGAAAAACTCAGAGGTTTTTTGTAACCGACATACTTGTTATACAAAAGTACTCATATCTCAGAAATGAAGAAGTCTACACGTTAGCGGCTTTCAGAAATGATTACTCGTTGCTTGAGCTTCATTTTCATAAAAAAAATTTTCAAAAATAATCTCTCCAAAATATAACTTTTAACCATAGAATTCCAACGGATCAAATATGAGTTATACAAACATTGTATTTTTCACAAATGGTTGGATTTTTACTTACAAAATACGACTTTAGGAGTGTTCTATGAGATGGTTGAGCAGAAAAGTGAAGATTTTACTTAGCATTTCAAGTTCTTGCAATTTGCTTTACCATTGAAGGATATAAGAAAGGGATGAGAAAAATATGAATGTGATGGATGAACTCAGGTTTGAAAAACGAATATTAAATTAACTACTGGGTTGGTCAAAG